GGAAAGAATAGATACCTTGGCTGGGGCGTGGGGGAGGAAGCTAGAATAGAAGCAAAGGAAGACTCACCGGGCAGAGATCTGCTGGGCTGTGTGGTTGAAATAAGTGAGGGAACCAGGGAGCAGCAACAGCAGCACCTGTGCCTCAAGGCAGACGAGGTATGAAAAGGAGTGAGTGGGAGGGGCGGAAGGTGAGGGTGGAGCCTGTCAGTGGTGCATTTTACCAGTTCTCCGAACTGCCCATAATTTGACCTACCATTCAGGAGAACCAGGCAGAACCGCTGAATTTCACCCCTGCCGGAAGTTCTTAGATGACTCGCAACCAACAGAGCCCCAGGCAGAATTGCGTCCTGCGAGGGGGCCATCTCCAGCACTCCTCTGCCACCTCCCTTGCCTCTTAGTGCCCCTCTGCGCCCCCCCTTGCCTCTTAGTGCCCCCCTAAGTAATCCCACCACCCCCAGGGGCTGATACTGCCCACTTTGGGAACCACTGCTCTAGCCCTAGGAAGGAGGCAGTGGCAAATATTCCAAAGTTGTGGTCAGAAAAATGAACAGACTTATCCAGGCTGTCATCAGGAGTCAAAGTGAAGGCACCTGATCACTTCCTAAATGATCACATCTCCAAATGGCTTGCAATAAAATTATTCAAGCAATAAATAGGCATTCCTGATGGTGATTTGGGCTTTCAAGTGAGGATGTTAGGAATAAGGTGTTTTGTGTTTATGTTTTAGAGAGCACAGTTGTACATGGAACACTCAAATTTCACCAGTTCCCATAACGAGCAAATATTTATTTAGTTGATTCCCAATTTATTGGCATTCAACCCATCGCTGCATTCAATGGTAGAATATGTGTATCCTCATCTGATTCAGTTGTTAATGAGAAGCATTATTGACATATTAATACAACTTGTCTCCAAAGAACTTCTGTGGCCTATTCTATGACCTGGTAATCCAGACTGAGTTAATTGGGAAAAAATGAAGCTGATAGATCTCTTGCTTACTTCATCTCTGCATACCAGCTAAGAATACTTTCTTAACAAAATGTCACTTTGAACAGGCAAATTATACTTTAGCTTGTTATCATAGGATTTGTTAATACTTAACTACTTTTTTACTTTTATTAAACATTTATAGGCCGCCCTTTTCCCTGAGGGGACTCAGGGCGGCTTACAATAATAGGGGAGGGNAAATGAAGGGAAAAGGCAGATATAAAATGTCTCCCATTGTATGTCCAGTTTCTGTTCAATGCTTTGTTTTTGAACTGCTTAAAATTCTCTTTTTTTAATATTAGGAAATTTTAAAAAATGGAACCAGGAAATTATAAAATGTTTCTGTAGGGTGACCTGTTCTTAACATTTCATCTAAATGTTGAACATCATTTACAAATCCCACATATGAGTGCTTTCAATTTACTTTGGACCATCCTACTAGTCTTTGTTTGGATCGTACCAATTAGTGGAGGACAATGATTTCTTCACAACTGATTCACCTTGCTGGACATGTCTTTTGGATATTTTCTTTTGGGATATGAAAATTTTCTATTTTCATATTTATGCATTTGTAATATAAACATAAAACTATGTAAAGGTTTCATTTTTTTTGAAGCCTTGCAAGTAGTTAGGAATATGCAGTCTTCAAAAACATAACATTATTCCTAAAGCCCAGCTGACTGCTAATAAAAGGTATGCAGTACATTTCCTGTCCATTTGTCTTCGATTTCTGTCCTAGGCCATGTGGCTGAATTCATGACTGGTAGAAAAAACAAACATGTATTCCTCCCTCTCTCTTTCATTTTAAAGATTGCACTGATGCATTTGATTATGCTACAGTGAAAGTTTGTTGTAGTACATGAGCGTACATCTTACCACATTTGTACTTGGAATGGAAGGTAGTTATAAACTTTCCCCCCCTCACATTAGCAAAATGACCACCATCCAAAATTGCACCAATATTATAGACTAAGTGATTATTGTCTACATTGAGCTGTAGCCAACAATAGCTTAATCTGTAATATCAACATCTGGTTGCAATATTATCCACTCAGTGAACTGCAAATTTTGCATAATGTTGTCAAAACCATTTGGTCACTAGAGTGCAAATCAAGAAAAAAGGCTTGTTCCATTATTTAATAAAAACACTTTATAATGTGGCTGATGCAAAGCAAGAAAAATGCCTTTTTCTCTTATTTAATAGTGGGTTTGGTAAAGTGGCTATTGGGCTCTAAATGTTATCACTTCTTCCTGTAATATAATATAGAGTTCTTCATATTTTTTTTCATATTAAAACCTCCATCTTCAAAGTCCAAATACAATCTACAGTAGGCCAGTTATATACATCTTTTGAGTTAAGGACCATATGTACTATTTGAATAATATGCATAACATTAGGAAAAAAAGTTTTATATAGTTTTAGTGTCAGCTCTGGCTGCCATTTGGGGGAGGACAACTGGGCCAGCTGCCAAGACTCGTGCTTACCAGATAGAGATTTCCCTCCTCCACAAGCAGTCCAGCTGAGAACTCTACAAAGCTCTTCATGATTCACTGCTGGGAGGTTTCCACTGAGAACATTCCAGAACTGATAACTGACTGAGAACAATCCATGATTGATTGCCGGGTGGTTTTCACTCTGGTTCACAAGGAGATGGGTGCACGTGGGATTGGTGGAGTTTAGCCTAATTACCAAGTAACTATAAAAGGTGGTGGGGATCACNTTTCAGAGCTCCTGGAACATAGGGAGACTGCCAGAGGACTGGAAAAATGGTGATATGATTCCAATCTACAAGAAGGGGGGAAAGTACATCCAGGAAACTACAGACCAATCAGCTTGACCTTCAACACCTGGGGAAATCCTTGAAAAGATAACCAAAAAGCACATTTGTGAGCACTTAGAAATAAAGTGATCACTAGAAGCCAGCATGGGTAATACAGGACAATGTGGGATAGAGAGTACCACAAGCAGATGAATTCACCGCTGGCTGACCAGCTGCATTCAGCATGTAGTCCTCAACTAGATGTACATGGATGGAAACATGTAGTGGTATACCTCAAGGTTCTCTCTTTGGCCCAGTGATCCTCAATATCTTAATAAACTTTCTAGATAAGGGAATAAAAGGGGAACTCATCAAATTTGTAGATGATACCAAACCTAGGAGAATTGCCAACACTTTGGAAGGTAGACTTATGTTTCAGAAGGATCTTGACAGACTTGAACATTGGGCCCTATCTAAGAAGATGCAGTTCAGTGGAGAGTCATAGTCATTGAGAGGACTTGTACTCCAAAGCACCTGAAGTAGACAAGAAGCAATACATGGAAGCTCGTTAGAGAGAGATCCAATCTGCAACCAAGGAAAAATGTCCTGACATAAAGCATAATTAATTGAACAGGTTCTAGAGTTTCACTTCTTGTACAATAATAGAATGATCTCATGATAAACAAAACTTTATAGAGAGGGTTTGCAATGATCTTGGCATTGAAAAACATGTACTTTAAAATAGGATGGTCAGAGACCGTAAGCACTTAAGACTGTCATTACCATGTAAATATCAAGATAAAATATATCTCTTCATGAAATGATAAAACTGTGTTTGATGTATTACTATGAAAAATATGGCCAAAGATTGTCATTTCATTTGTATAAGGCAGTACACATTTGGGGGGGGGGGGAATGTAACATTTTCAAATAAATTCATAAATGTGTTGTTATACAGGCTGGTAAATTTTAAAGTTGAGGCTGTTTTCTCTTTGAACTACAGCAGTATATAATATAATTAAGCACTTGATTATCAGTTGGGTCATCTTGTTTTACCTGCAAGATTTTTCTAGATTACGTCATTCCTTTCTCTATAAATTTGGGCTTCAAAGATACTTCACCATTCCTATCCTGTAAGTGTAAACAGTTGCTCTCATGGAATGCCAGTTATTTTATGCATAGCTTTGCATGTATTTATGTAAACACAGCTCACTGTATTTAACAAAGGTGGCCTTTGTTAATAGACAACAATGTACTTTGTTCTCTTTAAATAGTGAGTTAGATGATAGCAATAATTTTCCTGTTAGGGTTTCTTTTTTAAAAAAAGAGATCTTATCATTTAACTTACAGAAGCTAAATTTTATGTCTTTAATCTTCCTCTACATACATCAAAAGGCAATAGTGGTAAAATGGCACCTATAGGTTCCGTCATCCATGAAAACTGTTAAACTATTGTTGAGGTACAGAAAGTTTGGAAATGCCCAGTGAAGTTTTAAAACATTACTAGTTCTTTTTTTAAACAGCAAATGCTCCATACATATCACTCAAGGCTAAGTTGTAATTTTCTGAATAGACTTTTCAGATTCAAAAATTGCTTGGGGGAAGGAGTAAGGAATTCTATGAGAGCAAGACTCTTTGAGTAAATGTTCTTTTGAAGCATTCCTCACCATTGACAATGCTTCCAGTGTTATAGATGAACAAACTGCAAACAGCCACAGATTTTGATCCCTGCTATGGGGAAACACTTTGCCAAACTAGTTCTATGGATCATTCGATGCCAGGTCACGTATCAGTTACAAAACAATGAAGGAGAAAACAAAAATGTCAGTTGCTCAAGCTCTTTGAAAAAATGAGACAAACAAAATATAAGATTGAGATCAATCTAATGTTTATCCAAAATCAGGAGTAGAAAAGTAGTAGTTGAAATAATACCTGTTATTAGATGTGTTTGTTAATAGGAGAAAATGGATACCCATTTTCGTATAAAGCTGAAGATATCACAAATATGCTTTCTGTTTTCTTCTATAAATCTAGTTGAGAACAAATCCATATATGCAACAAAATGGGATGACCAATGAAAACGCACAACATCCTTCCATGTTACCTTCTCCAGCAATGTTAAACAGGAATTTGAAAGGGGAAATGATGCGCACTGTGGCTGAACCAGGAACCATAGATGAATCTGTGGGCATTTCACCCTTATTGACTAATGCTTTGGAACACATTGTGGAACAATTAGATGTTCTGACACTTGTGAGTATTCCTGCACCTCTATATTAAGAGTTCTGTTTTGAAATTGAACTCTTATTAAATAGTTTAAATTTCCTTTTATATTTTACATTTAACAAAAAAGTTGGCCCATGTGGGAATGAGCCTCAAACATGGTTTTTATCTAGACTTGAAACATGTCATTCAACATTTTTACTTTGTTTTACAAGTTGTACCCTATCTTTCAAAATTTTCAAGAACGGTGTATATTAAATCTGTAGATAAAATCATCAGCTTCAGATCTGAGGGAACCTTCAATTTCTAAGCCCTCTCTTTACAGTAAATAATAAATTAAATGCTTTCAAATTGAGCAGCTTCGTATGAAAGGTGACTTAAACAATTTTTAAAGTTGTCTTGTGTGATCCTCATTGTCACATATGAAGGCATATACAACCTTTTCCCAAATTAGAATAGAATGTAAATAACATTCACATACAATTTAAGCGAGTGTTTCTCATCTAGTGGCATATGTGTTACTGGTGATGTACTGACTACTGGAAAAGGATTGCTGCTACAAGGGGTAGAGAAGGAAAATATCCTAATTATTCTAATAACCTAGAATAAAATCAGTTTATCTGCAGGATCAGAAAGATAACTAAGTTTGAACTATGGTAGAATGCATGACAAAAGGAGAACAGGCTGTCACATTGATAATGTTCGTTCTGCAAGAGGGACCACTTTCTTACCAGAAAAAGGCAGAAAAGGAGGAACTAGGAAAGGCAACATTTCCATCCTACAGTCACTATGCCATTGCATGTCATGGGCCCATGGGATTTTGGGACAGCCAGTAAACCAATAATTGTGTTTCCCTTGTTTCTGTCAGTTATGTTGATTAACCAGTGATATTGAGAAATAATCTACATTGTTTGGAAGCTAGGCCAAGATGTAATTCCCACCAGAAATGCCCCTCTCTCCCGGAGCTTGAGACTCAAGGTTGCCTTTGTCTCATTCATAAATGAGAGAGCACTACAGAGAGTATCTTATTTCTAACTTAAGTAACCTTAACTGACTTGCTGGTAATGGATGAGACCAGAATGGGATCAAGAATGTTAGGTATCTCAGTTAATTGTATTCCTGAGCAGCAATTCTGACTGGAATGCCCTTATTCCTCGATGCAATTTAAGGCAACCTGATAAACGTTAAGGCAGTAGTCTGTCTGGGCTTGCAACATATCCAACCATCCATTTAAACACTGAGTATAGCAAATGGAGATGGGTAAAATGGGTGACAGACACAGTCAAGTGTCCTATTATGTGAAGGAGTCTTTTTGAATGTGATCATGTTATTTTTTTTATATTTTGATGTGATTACTTTTTCTCCAAAGAGCTATTTTGAGCGTGTGTTAAAGTTCAGTCATTTATGTGCAAAAGCAGCTACACTGACAATGGATGGGGAGAGCAAAAATCCCCACTGTCCTAGACACTATCATTACATCAACTGAAGATTTACACAATAGTTGTAAAAGTGTCAGGATTCCAAGAATAATTAATCATAAGAAAAGTTACTGTTTATGTTCAAGATATGTTTTCTCTACAGTACCGTATGAGAGAATTTATATTCTCTTGTTATCACTTCCCCTTTGGGGATTGGGACACTAATTCGTATGAGAGAAAGAGAAGCATAACTCTAAATATATTCTGTCCATGGCTCGGTGTCTCAGATAGAAAAGTTTATATAGTTATCTCTCTGTTTTTGATTCTGATTGTTGGAAGAAACTTACTATAAATGACAAATGTAACAAAATAAAGTGTATAAATATATAAGTTGTCTTCCTAGAAGAAAGTACTTTTTAATCTCTGTCACGATGTGATCCAGGTTCTTTGACAGACTTATTGGTGGAATGTAAGACATTAATGGATTAAACTTTTCAATGTCTTTCCTACAAAACCATTTTTAAGAGATTTGCATCCTAGCCAATTATTTAGATATGGATTTCAATGACATGTTGAAAAGATATGCTGTTTATTTTTTAAAAGATATAAAGCTTCATATAAATATTTCAAAGAATTCTATTCCTATGTTCGATTCATAGAGCTCCATGCCTTAACTGGGTATCTCTTCCAAATGCATATAGAGAGGGTGAATTGCCCATTCCTCAAACTAGAGCCCAGAAATCATACTGCATGCTGTTCTTGCAAGTAGTAAGAGAATCTTGAAAATCCCTGGTTGGTGTATCTAATGCTATATAGCACCAATTGTTATTATTTGGTTCTCAATTTAAGGTGGAGAGAATTAGCTTTTCAAAAATTTCACTTTCAGGACTGTCTAAGATAGAAGAAGATAGTTTACTTGCCTTTCAATAATTATAATTTACATTTGACTATATATGCCACATATCCTCCTGCTATATAGATTCTGCCATACCAGTATACAGATGACATGCCAAATTTTATTGATCCTCTCTGATATTTTTTTTAATTATAAGAATATGAGGCATTACATTTCTGTATTGCAGATATCCAAATTTATGACTTGATAATAAAGAGTTTTTGGAGAAATAATATTTTAGACTACCTAATCTATTTAGTAAATTTAAGATTATTTGATCAATTGCTGCAGTTCTAACTTATTGTATGGATTGAAAATGAATAACATAATATACATTTAGCAAGCATCTAATAGCGTTCATTATTTTCTCCTCCTAACAGACAGTTTCAATCTTGGAACAGCGCCTGACTTTAACTGAAGATAAATTAAAAGAGTGCTTACAGAACCAAGGGAAACTATTACATTTGGGACAAGAAACAACATAAATGCTGGTGAATACTTATTAATCTATTCTCAGGGAAGTGAAGTAAAAAGTGGTAATACTTAATGACACACATGCCACAAATAAAAAGTGCCTGTAAGATTTTGCTTGTAAGATTTTTTAACAGATCATTGCTAAAATATTGAATATATTTTATTAAAATATTTATATATATTTATATATATACATATTGCTTTTTTTTGAGTATCCAGTATCCTCTGTGTTCTGATAGTTAATTATTCTTGACATAGTTAAAAAGTAAAGGTTCCCTGCACATGTGTGCTAGTCGTTTCCGGCTCTAGGGCCAGTGCTCATGTCAGTTTCTAAGCCAAAGTGACAGTGCTGTCCAAAGACGTCTTTGTGACTGGCTTGACTAAATGCCAAAGGCGCACAGAGCCCTATTACCTTCCCACCAAAGTGGTCCCTATTTTTCTACTTGCATTTTTTACNGAAAAGGGCGGCATACAAATAAAGGGAAAACTCAAACTCAAAACTGTAATACTTGTTTGTACTATTTTTCTAAAGTCCATACATCAGAGAATTTAGCTTGGCTGCACTATTTTAACACACTGTTGAAGTTAGTAAGGGAAGCCATATTGATAAATTATAATTTGAATTGCAACATTTGTCCTTAATTTATTAAAAACCTTTCAGAGTCATTGCTGAATAGGTGTTTTCCAAAGTTATGTATAATAGTCCAAGATTTTTCCCCCAATGTTAAAAGTCCAATATGAGAAAAATGGAAGTGATCTTGCAGCTTTAGGAGAACTTTATTTTTTCAAAGAAATTTTATCAAAGGAAGAGAATATATGTAGTTTGGGACTGAACCACAAAGTTCTTGGTGCTCTCTGATCTTGATTGTTTGCTTGCAGACGTTTCATTACCCAATGAGGTAATATCAATGTGCATATGAAGTTGCTCCCTGTTCATATGCGTAGCTTGTCCTGCCAGCTAAATTAATAAACTATACTTATTTATTCTGAGATTGTTGTTAGTTTGTGGGCCTTACATCAAAGAAATCACACATTGTTATTATTGGACACTACATGGACTTTTTTTCAGAATATTTTAGGTCAATGTTGTTGCATACATACCATATGCTTCATTTCTACTTTCAAGATATTGGTTGTAGATGTTAAATGGAAAAATAATAAAGTAATTTCATGTAACTCAAGCTAAATAGGCAATTATGTTGAGCAGACAATTGCTCCATTGCTTTTGTCAAAAGTTTTCTTGCAAAAACTAAAAAAATAGCCCATGTATTCCTTATTTTGGGGAAATGTTTTATCATTTAAAGATTTGTTTTAAATATGAAACAAATTTTTCCACTTGATAGTGAACAAGCTAGAAAGACTGGAATGTAGTTATACACCACATTTAGAAGTAAATCCCATTAAAGTCAGTAATACTTATTTTTAGTAAATATCATAAGATTGCCGGTTTATTTGCATGCATGTTGAGTATTGATAGCTCTCCTTTTTTATGCATTGTCTAGATTAGGATGGTCTTAAAAATAATCTGATAATGTTGAAATGCTTCAATACTAGGTAGGGTATAAGTATGGCCATTATTTCAGATTCTCTTTCATTGGTCAGAGTACAAAAAGCTATTCTAAATATTCCCACTCCTGTTGTCAGGGATAGGCAGCTTTCTCAGGATTAGAAGCCACAACCTACTTCTCCCACCAGTTGGAGGGATTTAGAATAAAAATATCCCCTCCTTTTTTTTAATCAATCAAACAAAAATAGTATGAAAGACTGAGCATTTTGGTTCAAAATTTCAGCAGTGCTGAGGAGAGACAATGGCAAGTGGGTTTGGATTACTCACCCTTGATTTTTTTTCCCTGAGTATTTTTGGGAAAGTCAACTAGTTTTCCTTTCATTTTGATAAGAACATTGGACTTTAATCTATTTCCCTTCTTCCCCCTAGCAATAATTCAACATATTCCAAAAATATTTAATAATAATTTTTTAAAAATGGTCAGATTTATGGCAAATGTTATGTGACGTGTTTTGATTTGTTATGGCCAGTATCTCCTTTATCTCAGTTTGAATACAGTTTATCACTTATTATAACAGTCAAGTTCATTCTTGAATAGCCAGGAAACTTCTATGGCAAGAAAAAAAAGTTACAATGGTATTGGTGAGATTTTGAAACTTGATTTGAGATTTTGAAGGCTAACTCACCTCACAGGGTTGCTACTGTGGGGGAAATAGAAGAAAGGAATACTAGATATGTTCGCCACCTTGAATTATTTATAAAATAAAGGTGGGATAAAAATATTAACTTAATAGTAAATTATTTTGGGTAATGATATTGTGCCATCAGACCTGACAATTCCAGGGAACTGCTGAAGCATGATTATTACTTGGAGCCCTTTGCATATTGTTTCCTTTATAACTGTGCTTTTATAATTTTAATACTTTTTAATAATAATATTTATTAATTATTGGTTTTTAGGTTAGTTGTGCACTGCTTAGAGTCACTTGTTTTGTGAGATGGGTGGCTATGTAGCAGTGACGTGCGGTGAGGTTGATACCTGGTGAGGCTTAGCAGGGCAGCGGTTGGCCTCGGCGGGAGGGGGGGGGAATTTGCATCGCGGAAACTACCAAGCGCCCGGGTCTGCAGCAAAGGCGCTTGGTGGCTCCCGCGATGCAAAGTGTCCCGCTTCCCCCCCCCCCCCCACCCCCTCACAACCC